CGAAGTATGGTTTTACCTCGATCGACTTTTGTTGGTTCTGGTCAATGGGCTGGCCATTGGCTAGGTGATAATGAAGCAACTTGGCATGAAATGAAAAGATCATTGATTGGAATGATAGAATTTAATTGGTTTGGAATTCCTTATAATGGAGCTGATATTTGTGGATTTGATAAGACACCAACAGAAGAAATGTGTATTCGGTAAATCAGTATTATTTTTATTTTTAAAATTTTTATTTTTTGTTATAGTTGGATGCAAGTCGGAGCTTTTTATCCATTTTCACGAAATGTAAGTATTTATGATAATATTACATTATATTATATTGAAAAGTAGAATTTCATCCTGAATCAAATATCAAGTTTGTTTAGATGAATTCAATAGTATTTCAGAAACGCATTTTAATATAATAGATGGACTTTTCATAAATCATAAGTACATAGGTATAAAAAGAATCTTTCTTTTGATAGCATACAGTTTATTATAAAACAAGTTTTTAAATATGAAGATTTGATATTGCCTGTTTTATCTGAAAATACAGTCCGTAAAATTAATTTCATTCTCAAATTTAGCATAATATATGGAAAACACCTGACCAAGATCCAGCTGCATGGTCATCATCTGCTATTTCTATTATGGTTGAAGCACTTCGTATTCGTTATACACTTCTTCCATATTATTATACATTATTTTATAAATCACATATCAATGGTTCAACTGTTATTCGACCATTATTTCATGAATATCCTACTGATAAAAATACACTTGATATATTTCTTCAATTTTTAATTGGATCTAATATAATGATAGCACCTGTAACTGATGAAGGTGCAAGACAAGTTCAAGTATATATTCCATCATCTGAATGGTTTAATTATTATACAGGTGATCAATATCTTTATTCAAAACAATTTATTAATATTTCAGCAGCCTTAGATACAATTCCTATATTATTAAGAAGTGGATCAATTATTCCGACGCAACAATATGCAAATAATACAAAATATTCAAGGTAAAATATAAAAAAATTTCTTTTAAAATTTCGTTTAAAATTATTTTTAAATAGACTCAATCCATTTGGTTTAATAATTATATTAAATTCAAATGGTAATGCACAAGGTGATTTATTTTATGATGATGGTGAATCAATTAATACAACTGGAACAAAATCTTATTATTATTCAACATTTCAATGGTCATCATCAAATCAACAATTAACAATAAATGTGATTGAAAATAATTATTCATTTATGTCAAATTTAATCTTAGATACAATAACAATTTATGGATTAAAAACAATTCCAACAATAATAAATGTTAATAATAAAGAATTTTTTGCTAAAGTACGACCATTTACACAAATTGTTGATATTAATAATTTAGGATTAGCCATGGATCAAAGTTATATATTTACATGGACAAAGACAGCATCAATGACGATTGAACCACGAGAAATTATTTTTTCAAATCCTAAATATCGTGTTGATTGTTTTCCAGATCCAGGTTAATTGATACTATATATTATATGATATATAAAATTCATTTCTTTTTCTAGATGTAACTAGTAATGCATGTTTTGTTCGTGGATGTATTTATGATCCAATATCACAATCAGATTATCCTGCTTGTTATATTCCTTCTAAAAAAGGTGGTTATGTAACTTCATCTATTGAAAAATTATCAAATACTACAACACAATATAAACTTTCACGTCTATCGAAAAAACCAGCTTTTATTTCAACATCTAAATCAAATATAAATTATCGTGTCGACTCTCGTCATTCTCAATCAAATCTTACAAATATAGTTACAACAGATTCTGATGAATTTTCGATGTATGGTCATGATATTGATCACTTGAATTTACAAGTTAGTGTATCAGGTACAGATATGATACGTTTAACAATACGTGATAAAGAAAAAGATAGATATGAAGTTCCTGTACCTATTCATTGGCATCCATCTGCATTACCTACATCAATAACACCAAAAATTCAATTTGAAATGACCAAAACATTAAATGGACAAGCTGGTTTTCGTATCAAACGTACAGATACTCAATCGATCATATTCGATACATCATATTTTGCTCATGGATTTATCTATGATAATCAATATATTCAGTTTATTACAACTATTCCCTCAAAAAATGTTTATGGTAAAACTTGTGGATGATTTTTGTATGTTTTAATTTGTTCTTGTTTTGCTTTATTGAAAGGTTTTGGTGAAAATACTCATTCATCATTTCGTCATACATTACAAAACTCTTTACGTTATGGAATATTTGCTCGTGATCAACCACCACAAGGAGGAAATGAGAATTTATATGGTACACATCCATTTTATATGTCAATTGAACGTGATGGACAAGCATTTGGTGTACTTATACTTAATTCTAATGCACAAGATTATAAATTAGATGAATTTGAAAATGATCAATCAATGCTTACATATCGAACAATTGGAGGAATATTAGATATATTCTTTTTTGCTGGACCACGTCCTGAAGATGTTATTAGACAATATCAATTAGTTATTGGTTTTCCATTTATGCCACCTTATTGGGCACTTGGTTTTCAACTTTGTCGATATGGTTATGATACACTTGAGAATATGAAAGCAGCAATGCAAAGAACTTTAGATGGAAATATTCCAATTGATATTCAGTAATGAAAAAGATTTATCTGTCTATTTATTTATTTTTTCTTTAATTTTATTTAAAGATATGGTGATATTGATTATTTTCGACAACAACTTGATTTTACGTGGGATCCAATACGTTTTAAAGGTTTACCCGAATATATTGACTGGTTACATACACAAGGGATGAAATTTATAACAATTCTTGATCCTGCTATTGATTCTGAAGAATCAAACTATACAGTTTTTACTGAAGGACAACAGGCTGATATTTGGATTAAATGGCCTGAAAGAAGAAATATTCAATTTAATGAAACAAAAAATAATAATATGATTGGATATGTGTGGCCATATGGTTTGTATTTTTCATATTTTATTTGAAGTCATCAATTTTAAATTATTTATTTTAGGTAAATCTGTATTTCCTGATTATTTATATCCCCCAACGAAAGATTGGTGGACGAATCAAATATTAAATTATCATAAAAAAATTAAATTTGATGGTCTCTGGATTGATATGAAGTAAATTAAATATTTTCCTTCCCTCATAACGAAAAACTAATAATTAATATATTTTAGTGAACCAGCTAATTTTGATACAAATAAATTTCAACCATGGAATTGGCCTCATGCTGAACCATGGAATCTTCATTGCCCAATGGATGAACAATTAGAAAATCCTCGATATAAAACAGCTATACATGGTGATTCTTTATCTGATAAAACACTTTGTATGATTGCTGAACAACGAGATGGTCATGGAAAAGTTTATAATCATTATGATGTTCATAATTTATATGGATGGTCAGAAACTTTAGCAACATTACCAGCAACTCATGCTATAGAAAATAAACGTTCAATTATAATTAGTCGATCAACATTTCCAACATCTGGTGCATATGGTGGTCATTGGTTAGGTGATAATACAGCTGCATGGCCACATCTTAAACATAATATAATTGGAATGTTAGAATTTAATTTATTTGGTATTCCATATATTGGTGCGGATATTTGTGGTTTTGAAGGTAATACAACCGAACAAATGTGTCAACGATGGATGCAATTAGGTGCATTTAATCCATTTTTTCGTAATCATAATGGTATAAGATTTGCTGATCACGATCCTGGAAGTTTTTCTCCATCGATAGTCGATTCAAATCGTCGTGTTGTTGAAACACGTTATGGATTAATTCCATATTTATATACACTTTTTCATCGTGTACACATTTCAGGTGGAACTGTTGTTCGTTCAATGGCACATGAATTTCCAAATGATTCAACATGTTGGTCAATTGATGAACAATTTCTTTGGGGTTCATATTTATTAATTGCACCTGTTATTTATGAAAATCATACAAGCAAAAATGTTTATTTACCATCAGTAAATGAACGATGGTTTAATTATTATACAGGCGAAGAAGAATTAACACTTGGAAATATTAATGTTACTGCTGATTATGATTATTTACCATTATTTTTACGTGGTGGAGCAATTTTACCTCGACAACAATCAGCAATGAATACAGTTAAAGCACGATTAAATCCAATGAATTTAATAATTGCATTGAATAAACAAGAAAAAGCTGAAGGAAATTTATTTTGGGATGATGGAGATTCAATTGATACATATCAAAAATTAAATTATAATTATTTTTATTTTAATTTTAATAAAGAAACGTTATCAATTCAATCATGGACATATAAATATCCACAAATGGGTCAACAAATAAAACTAGATGAAATTACTATTTATGGTATAATTGAACAACCAATTAAAATTCAATGGAATGGACAAGACTTATCTAATAATAAATGGAAATTTAATATAACTTCAAAAGTTCTTACAATGGAAAAATTAGCTTTAGATTTTTCTCAAACACATAAATTTATTTTTTCTTAATTATCATTTAAAAACTTTGTTATTTATTTTTTCAGTATAGTTTTATTCTATTATAGTATTTGATATAAATCAATGAAAACAAAATTTTATTTTTATCGTAGATATTTTCTGATTTTCAAACTTTTTAAATAAAAGTCACTTAGTTTGCTAATATTTTACGATCTTATCGGTTGTTCAGTATTCCGAGCATATTGTATTGAGTAAGTCAAATGAAGAATCGAAAATTGAGTGGCTGTGGAATCAGTTAAGAGATAAAACATTCATCCACACCCTCAACTTTTCATGAGTGATTCTTTTATTTTAGTTTCATGTTTATTTGAATAATAAATTCCAGTAACAACAAAATAACTATTTCAATATAGTTAAATCACAAGACGAGACGCGACAATACAATGAAGCAAAAAAAAACTGAATCAAATAATTATACATTGATAAAGTGATAAAAGAGAAATTATGAATTCATTTATAAATTATATAAAGTCGAATTACTAATCGATGAAGAATTATCAAAACTAGGAACATAAATACGATAGAAAAATGAAGGTAAATTTCTAATATAAGGCCATGGAAGATTTATTAAACATTGACTTATACGACGATTTAATGTTCGAAGTTGAGATACTAAAAATGCAATGTCATAAAATTCAAATGGTAATTCACAACCATTACTTAAACGACGAGCTAAAAAT